CTTGAAGTCTCCATTTTTAAATTATGTAAATCATATCAAAAACAAATATTCTCTGTTTAAGTAATTCGTATGAAAGCAACGACAGGCTGAGCTGATTAGTGCTAATGTGACCACGCCCACACGCGTGCGAGCTGTTCATATGCAAATGATCAGATTTCAGCGTTGCAATGATAAGATCTTCATTCTCGCTATCAACATACTGTCATCTGCTTCCTCAATGCTCATCAAGGCAACATTTTATGTGATGGGAATAGATCTAAATACTTTAAAAACTTCTCACGATTCGTTAATCTCGACAGCTGTAATAGTAAAAACGTATAATAGCTGTAGTAAAAGTATTCGAGAGAGTTTCACATGTAATATCTATTTCATATGCAAGCATGTCAGCCAATCACAGCAGTGGGCGGATACACTGAATCCCACAGCAGACACGCCCCTTCAAACAGAGCGTTTAAATCAGAGGCTAAAATCAGGCTAGGAAAAATGCCTTTTATTTCTAAATTATGACTGTTTTTGATCTAAAAAACATTCTAACATTATAAGGGCAACCCAGGAAACATTATAAAATAATAAAATAACCCCATTCTAGGGCAACTTTAAACATTGTTGTCATTATATTTCTGGTCTATTATTTTCCATTTTTACTTTTATTTACACACATACTAGAGTGGCTCTATAATTTCATTGTACTTAAATGCAATGACAATAAAGGCATTCATTCATTCATATATTACACAATTTACACATATTAAAATAATATTTTTGTGCTGGTGCCTATGAAAATAGTTCTGTACAAATGAAATGTATTAATTGTATATTTAATAAAATAATGCAATAATAATAATATATTATAATTATTTAAAAAATATTTTTAGCTTTACTCTGCCTATTTTTTTACTCCATTTACTCTGACTGATCCGATCAGTAACCGAAGGACTAGAAAGTTGTTTTAACCATTCATTAAAATGAATCGGTTTAAATGAGTCAATAGTTCGCGAATTGGACTTGTCATTATCGGATGTGTTTGCGTTGTGTGATTATCCCGGCAGCTAGGAGATCCCACAAGATTTGTGTCAACACAGAAAACATTTAATCACTGGGTAGGTTTTTTCGTTTATTTAAAGTGTGGTTTATGTCAGCTGAATGTGCGGAACGTTTTTCAGAGAAGATAGGGTATTTTAGCACAATTCACACCCAGCGGTAATTCAGAAAAAAAAAATATCGGAATCCTCTACATGAAACTATGGTCTTCCGACCTTTTACCATCGTGTCGATTTATTTTGATTAATATGTGCCAGGGAGAGAGAGCAAGACAGCGCTTAGGAGATGCTGAAGCCTTGTTTATACTTTCGCCTGGCTCCGAAGAGAAAGAGTGTGCACGCTACCGGGGCTCTCTCTCTGCTCGTTCTTCAGTTGCACCCTGTCACACGCGCAGCAGTTCGTCTACATTACTCACCGATCAAATAAGACTATGGCGGGACAAAAATTCGCTTTGAATCAGGAGCATCGATAAGAGGACTCGTTAACGTCGAGGGCATACAATATCGATGCGATGGTTCATAAAACTTAGAACCGTTTCTCGAGTGAAACCGGTTTTCAATTCCCATCCCGCAAACACAACAACTCCGTCATGTCCGTAGCCATCATCCCAGATATTTTATAACATTACAAAATGCAATTGTATTAATAAACATTTTATTACATTACTATTTTGGTATGAACATTCACCCGCCAGTGGGGCGGATAGCCTTTTGAGAATTACTCACCAAATGGAAAATCTACCCGCATTTGGCGCTTGCCGGGTGTTAATTTCGGACCCTGATCGGACTACTCCATCGAATTCCGCACGTTGGCGGCCGAGTACCAATGGAACGAGGAGGCACAGTGGGACATGTTCCTGCGTGGGCTGGCTGACCGTGTTCAGAGAGAAATTTACATGTTGGATCTTCCTCCGAAGTTGAACGGACTTATCTAGCTGGATCTCTGCCGAGAAGACCTCATCACCATCGTCCATGCTCCTCCCGGTAAGACTAAGATGGGCAACCGGCACAAACACCTATCAAGCTTTACTGGACTCAGGAGCAGAAGGGAACTTTATAGACAGTAAGCTCGCTCAGAGACTTCAGATTCCTGTTCATTCACTCACTTGCAAGATATCTGTTCACGCACTCAATGGACTAGAGCTTCCCAGTATTTCACACACTACTGAACTTATTACACTCATCACTTCAGGCAACCATGCAGAAACAATACCATTTCTCCTCATGGACTCACCATTAGCTCCCAAAGTCCTCGGCCACCCCCGGCTCACTGAACATAATCCCCGGGTGGATTGGCGCTAACACTCTATTTTGTTATGGAGTACACAGTGTTATGAGTCTTGTCTTGTGTCTGCTTGTCCGTCTCTGTACCTGTTACTGTGTTTCAGGAGGAGGCAGGGGATTTATCTAACGTGCCCGTCGAGTACCAGGACCTGAAGGAAGTGTTCAGTAAGTCCCATGCTGCTTCTCTCCCTCCGCACCGTTCCTACGACTGTGCCATAGACTTAATGCCAGGTAAGTCTCCGCCTAAAGGCAAGTTATACTCACTCTCTGTTCCAGAGAGGGAGGCCATGGAGAAATATATTTCTGATTCTCTAGCTTCGGGGTTCATCCAGCCTTCCTCTTCTCCAGCGGGGGCGGGGTTCGAGACCTTGTATTGACTACCGGGGGTTGAACAACATCACGGTAAAGAATACTTATCCTTTGCCGTTGATATCTTCAGCCTTCGAGAGGTTGCAGGGAGCATCAGTCTTCACTAAGTTGGATTTACGTAATGCTTATAATTTGGTCCGCATTAGGAAGGGGGAAGAATGGAAGACTGCTTTTAATACCCCCAGGGGGCACTTTGAATATTTGGTCATGAAGTTCGGCCTGTCCAACTCCCCAGCGGTCTTCCAGGCACTCGTCAATGAGAAGGTTAAGGCTATAGTAGATTGGCCAAGTCCAGATTGCCGTAAGGCCCTACAGAGGTTTCTGGGGTTCGCCAACTTCTACCAGCGTTTTATTCGCAATTTAATCCAACTAGCCGCTCCTCTGACTGCCTTGACCTCCCTCAGAACTACGTTCAGGTGGTTTGATACAGCGGAGGCTGTATTCACCAATCTTAAAAACGGCTTCGTTTTGGCTCCCATCCTTGTAGCCCCAGATCCGTCACGTCAGTTTGTGGTGGAGGTAGGCGCAGTTCTTTCCCAACGTTCGTCCACAGACATCTGTGCGCGTTCTTTTCTCATCGATTATCCCCTGCCGAACGTAACTATGACATTGGTAACCGTCAGTTGTTGGCAGTCAAGTTAGCGTTGGAGGAGTGGCGCAACTGGTTAGAAGGGTCGGGGTTACCTTTTATCGTCTGGACTGATCATAAGAACCTAGAATATATCAGAACTGCCAAAAGACTCAACTCCAGGCAGGCTCGGTGGGCTCTTTTTTTTCGGTCGTTTTGATTTTTCTCTTTCGTACCAGCCGGGTTCTAAAAACATCAAACCCGATTCTTTATCACGTATTTTTGACCGTTCCGAACGCCCGACCACTCCCGAGTTTATTTTACCAGAGAACCTATTTGTCTCCACACTCACGTGGGAGATGGAATCGAAGGTCAAGACGGCCTTAGAAGGGGTAACGCCTCCGCCAGGGGGTCCACCGAATCGATTATTTGTGCCGGAGCAGTTACGGTCTGACGTTATTCAGTGGGGGCATTGTTCCAAAGTGGCGTGTCATCCAGGAGTCAATCGTACCAGGTTTTTGGTCAAGCAACGATTTTTGGTGGCCATTAATGGCTCGGGACATTCGCAGTTTTGTTTTGGCTTGCTCGGTTTGTGCTATTGGTAAAACTTCCACACCTCATCGGAGATCATCACCCGCCTGGTTGCCTATCGAAGTCCCTGCGCCACTTGCCAGTTCTGTGTTCCCAGTGTTGTGTGTGTTCTGACCATTATTCTGTTTATTTATAATAAACATCTTACCTGCATCTAGCTTCCCCTCGTATTTATGACAGTTTCATGAATCACGATGGATTCGACTAGTACACAAAATCTGCTCAAAATAAGTACATTTTCATTACTTTTTTGGCCAAAATTGTTTGTCAAAATATAACATTTATATCCATATAGCTAATGACCTTTTTCATAAATAGATAGCAGCTGTAAAACAAGTATCCATTTCATCTTCTCTCAGTGATGTGTTTTTCAGAGTCCATATTATGAGAGGAATCGCCTCTTTAAATATACATAGAAAAACAACTGGAGCCATTTTTCCAAAAAGAATTAGTGTTTACTACTACTAGTTCATTAGCAATGCTGAATACAATGTTAAACCCCTTGATTGAATGAAAACTAAATTAAATCTATTCGTTATACCTGAATAAATCACTAGTTTTATTCATTTTTAATTCTCACATTTTCACAATGTGCAGAGAGTGATTCAATCCAATAAAGTCTTCAATATGTTCTCAATGCATCACCTCTAAACAGCGAGACTAAAAACAAGTTGTTTGTGATATGAATGATATTTGATAGACTATTGTTGCCATTGTTTCAAAATGCCTCACATGTACAATTAAAATAATGAAACCAGAAAGAAACAAAACACATCCCTTCATAAATTATAATGTTTTATGGCGACACACTAGTTTTCTGAACTATTATTCTTGTTCCATCTGTATGAGATGACCATGCACTGCTTGAGCGATGACATTGACACGAATATTTTCACATTGTTGCTTTACTGTTCAGTTCATCTTGTATACAGTAACACTCAGTGTTTACTGCGCATGTGCAACACAACAGAGGATCAATACGGGTGTCGGAAGAACAACACATGCAACACTTACAATGCAATTCACAACCATTTTAACCGGTTCCCCTTGTCAAACATTAAAACTTCAATACTAATTTTAGATTAAATTACTGTATTAAATGTAATTCCATCTTTTACTTATTTACAAGTTATGAAAGTGAACTTTGCTCACTCAGACATCTTCGGGCAATGCTTTTTCTCATGTTTCAGTAGACTAGATGAATGGCTGAAACTCTTCCCACATGAAGAGCACTGGTGCGGTTTTTCTCCAGTATGAATTCTCTCATGATCTTTCAGGTTTCCTGACCGAGAGAAACTCTTTCCACAGTGTGAACACTTGTACGGTTTCTCTACAGCATGAATTCTCTGGTGTGATTTTAAGTTGCTGGATGAAGTGCAGCTCTTTCCACAGTCAAAGCACACATAAGGTCTCACACCAGTATGAATACGCTCATGCGCTTTTAAAGATCCAAGATGTGAAAAACTCTTTCCACATACAGAACAAAAGTGAGGCTTCACACCTGCATGAACTTTAAGGTGTTTTCTTAAGTTTGATTTAAAAACAAATGTTTTATCACACTGATCACAGCTGAATGATCTCACTCCAGAGTGACGGCGCAGATGATCTTTGAGAGCTTTTTTGTAACTGAAGCTCTTTCCACACTGAGAGCATGTGAACGGTTTTTCTCCAGTGTGAATTCTCATGTGATCATTTAAGTATCCTTTGCGAATGAATCCCTTTCCACACTGAGTGCATGTAAAAGGCCTTTCTCCAGTGTGAATCATCATGTGTGTGTTCAGGTTTGATTTACGTATGAAACTCTTTCCACACTCAGAACAGGTTAAAGATCCTTCGACTCCAGATTTTCCAGCTTGTTTCTGCGTGAAATTCTCTTCAGTCTTTGAAACGACTGCATGTCCATCTTCATTTGTGAAATAATGCAGTTTTTGAAACTGATGCAGTTTATCTTCATTCACTTTCATTAGGTCTAAAATAAACAAATTAAATTCACATAATTTAAAGGTAGGGTAGGTGGTTTTTGTCTAGAAAACTTTTTTCCAAATTTGTATAGACTGTCTTTATATATCAATGCATAATTAAAATGTAAGTACTCAAATCTAGTGTTTGTAGTCCTCTCAGGGCTGCAATAAACACAGCTCATTATTCCATTCACTCCACCCCCTCCCTTCTCGGCTCCTTCCAAAGCCATGCCCCCAAAACACATGAACGCACGATGCCGACCGCGGCTCGTCAGCTGGAGGAGGACGCGTTTACCAGCGCAGAACGGAGAGGAGCAGTCCATGTAGTGACATCATGTCAGAATCACAAGTAATAAAATAACTCACTTTATCATTATGAATATAAACAACTAACATGGCTGTTAGTAGGGGTGTGACGAGACGCTTATCTCACGAGACGAGACGAGACACGAGATTGGGTTCACGAGAACGAGACGAGATGAGATTTTTGCTCAATTTTTCAGAAATCCTCAATGAAAAATAGTATGCAGGTGCATTTTTCAATGTTTTAACTAATAATCTTCTAATGCATGTCATTTCAGGTCTACTTTATGAGTATGAATTATCAAATGCATTGAAAGAAAACAATATTCAAGCAAAGGTTTTTATTGACTGGCTTTTCTTCTGTATGATTTCACATGAGTCTCTTCAGACCTTACTGTACATGTAAGAGCTTTCAGAACTTCTGATTGAGGCTGTGTGTGACCTCCTAACTGAACTCCTTTACATACATTTAACAGAGAAATAAAAACAGTATAAATAACAAAAATAAATAACAGTTTTCTCTTAGTCTTAAGTGCAAACAATAAGTGCAACCATAATCAAAGTTAGCACACAGACTCTTTATAATTGTTGTGAAATTGCTGTTTTATTTTGCACCGGCAGTTATAGGGTTAATGCAGTGAGTTCGGAAAAGGCCGGGTAGAGAGAGACGAGGCTGGTGCGTTTATCTCTACAGCGTTCCGATTATAAGTTCAGAAACGGAGCCTCCCTTGTCTGTTGTCCTTTATACGTTACACAGTGCTCTCTCAATATTCGCAGTGCAAACAGAGACCATAGCCGCAAATAAACAGTCCAGAGATGGGTATTGGGAGACGGACTATTGTATGTATGCAGCCTAATTTGTGCGCAATGCACATCAGGGAGCTTGTGTTTTACTTTCACTTACAAAGTCGTGACCGCGCGTATAGGGAGCAGCGGTGCTGAGCGCGCATATTCTAGATTAGAAGATAAGACATACGTTTAGTCTGTTGCGCAACGAATCCTCCGCTTCGCCATCGTCACGCGATCAGTGAACTGGGATTCGTGCTGCACTGATTTCAGCAACTCGTGCTGGATGAGCAGAGCAGACTTTCACATTAGTTTATAATGGTTTTTATTTTTTTTTATAAAAACAACAAAATGATAGTTTAGGCGAATGTGAGTGTAGCGGTGAAATATTCATGGCGATATCGCGAGACAGCTTTTTTACTCGACGAGAAATCTCGTCATATTTAGTCTCGCGAGATCTCGTGGCACGAGATCTCGTCACACCCCTAGCTGTTAGTACTTACTATCAAGCTAGCATATCGATAGGATACTGGTAAAGTTTAAAATATATTGAGTTTGATTCGGTAACGAGCTACTAAAATAAGGCAAACCTATAAATAGCTTCATTGATACACGTTTTCCGTACCCATCAGTTACACTGTGATGAAGGTGAATTTCGCGTAAGATTCATAACATATACGGTGTTTTGCATGTAAGAGCGTCCACGATGAAAGCACTGTTGGCTCTGATGAGGACTACACTCAGAGACAAGTACCGCATCGTCACCGGCTCAAGGACAGGTCCGGGGTCGAGGGCGAAGCAGAGGAGGTCGTGCGAATACTGTATTCCTTTTATTTACTCGTTTGCCTTCGATGACTGTATATGCAGGTACTGAGAATTGTGACTGCTCTTTCTCTGCCATAATTGTTATTATTACTAGCTTCCGTCCGTGCCTCTTCACCTCCTTGAGCCAAACGGGTGCGCGCATGTGGGCGGCTCCTGAAGCAGCAGGGGTGGTAGCCATGGTAGCAAGGGAGAGTGACAGTCGCCCAGCCAATCATTTCATTCGTCCCGAATGGAATAATGAGCTATGTTTATTGCAGCCCTGAGACAGACACTCGATTTTTATAATCTCTTTTTCAGAGTACTTACATTTTAATTATGCATTGATATATAAAGACAGTTTAAACAAATTTGGAAAAAAGTTTTTTAGACAAAAACTACCTACCCTACCTTTAATAAAAGGATACATGAGAAACAAAAACAAATCCAGCTTACTCCTGAATCTACTAGTATCTAGTTTTAGATGTTATTTTTATATGTCAGTTTTCATCCTAATGTTCCTCATCGGTCATTAAAGGTACATAGCGCAAGTCTCTGAGTTTTTGCAGAACTATGCCCCCTCTAGCGACAAGCGGAACTGCAACCAGAGGTGTGCACGCTCATGGACCACACGCACACGCACGCTTGCTCCTTTAAGCATGTATGGGTTAGAAAAACGGGTATTTTTAACATGAAATGTTGCGCAATGCACCTTTAAAGAGAATGAACTAGGAAAACACCAACCTATTTGTTCCTCTGTATCTTCATCTTTTATTCTGCAGGGTTCTTCCTCAATCTCCATCTTTACAATAGTATGTCCGTAGTTTCTCCTGGAGTAATTCCTCCTGCTTGCTTCTTCTTCTCCTGTGGGAAGATGGGAATATTCCCCAGCATTTAAACTCTCATGAACGGCTGTGGAAGCTCACTGACTGAAGGAGTGAATTGTGGTCGTTGTTGCTCATTTAGCAGATGATCATCACACTTACAATCACTCGAGATTATTTATGGTTTAAGTGTTTTGCTCTAATGGCCATTTAGAAACAATTTCATAATTTTAGGTTTTACTGTAAGGATTATGCTGCTATTTTGAACCAATTATTGGATCAAAAAGGAGTTGAAGGCAAACTTTTGTGTCACTAAAAAAAGTAGCATACATTTTTAGCAGCACAGTTAGAAAAATAATATAAAATGTTGTGCTACAATTTGTGTTTACACCAGGTTTCATTTATTAATTACAAAACACAATTTAAAATCTTTACACTTTTTTAGTTAACTATAATCAGTGATGCGCTTATTGTTTGTTATATTTACAACATTGCCGAAAATTAACCATGACTTGTATAGTTAAAGTGTAGAAACCATTGGCTTTTGGCAGATTTATTACCATTTATATGACCAGTTTTAACTGCAAATACAGCGGTTAAACTATGGTAATGGGTTTAACTATAGTAACCATGTTTTTTACTTATTTATTTGTAGTAAACACAAGGTTAATTTTCGTAAGGATTCACTTCTAGTCAAACATAATAAGTAGTCAAAATTTCGGATTCAGGATTCGGATTAATTCGGTAAACACTCTGGCTGGTTAGATTCACTAAAATGAACCGAATCTTTAATAAGCATGTAGATTTATTCTATTAAATTGAATGTACTCACAGTCTGTAAAACAGCAGATTTAGAGCAGAATGAACGGCTGTGTTCCACTTCTCATGTTTATGTTCCCTTCCCTCGCTCACTTCTCTTCTTCTCCTAGACTCGGATGTGTGTCATTGCTTCGGTTGTTCGAGCGCCTCTTCTTCTTCTATTTCTTTCCGGCAGACTAGGCACTGTTAGTGCATTGCTGCCTCCCACTGGTGATAAATACAGTCTACATTAAGGCTCCCCTAGCCTATATTTTCCAATATGGGCCATTCTATAGAATTGGTGCAAACTGCTGTCCCTCATCCAAAAAAACACATTTGAAAAGCATTTAATTATTAAAATCTTAGATGTTTACTAAGATCCTTCAATTATCTATTGAAACCCACAATAATATTTAAGATATCAGCAAGCTTTATATATATATATATATATATATATATATATATATATATATATAATCATCATTTATGGGCCACTTTCAATTAGGAGGTGGCTGTCCCAAACCCTAACCCCTAAATTTCAACTTGTGAAAATGATATTGAAAAATTTGTAGCAAATTTTTCCATTCTTGTTTTTTTTTTTTTACTTATTTTTTAAATGAAGTAAAAAAAATATTTATTTTATTTTTTATTTTTAAATCATGAAACTTTATTTTAAAAAAACGTGTCCTGCATTTTCATGTCACTACCAAAACAGTGAATGTTGTAGTCCATTGGCTGAGACTGATTTTAACCACACCCCTACATTTTTGATCAGGAAATATTCCTGTGTCCCTCTCTGTCATGTGCTATATGGTGAGTAGATTGATCCCATCATTTTGAAGTAAATGTGTTCTAAAGTCTAAAAAATCTGTGTGTAACTTTAAGGAATGTCACTACCAAACTCATTTTTTCTGCTATTGAGAAAACTTTTTTGGCTGTTATTCCATAAAATTTAGTTGTTATATGTGTTCAACTGTTCTGACCAGTGATTGCTAACCATGTGCTGATTAGCATCTTTGAGCTAGGCTCAAAAGTATCTAAAATTGTCATTACCAAAACAGTCACAACCGAAACATGTCTTGAAGTTTCGGTTGTGACATTATTGTTTTGGTAGTGACAAAAGGGAACACATAATCCTTTATTTGGAGGAATAAACTACATTTTAGTACAGTTATGCAAATAATTACCACTGTAGTATGTTTTAGTGTTTTAGTATGCAAGATTCTGTTAAAATTCTGTAATGTGATGAGGTTACAATTACTTAAGGTTGCAGTCCATGATACTACTGTCAGTAATGCTAATTTCTATGATTGAAGCTGCAGTAGGGAGTTTTGAGAAAACGTTGACTTAGCCTGAAAATTTGAATGAGCACAACTTACAGCTTGATTTTTTTCACAGATTATCTGTCTCATATTCTACTGTCAATAATGACAGTTTTAACAAATATGTAAAAAATATTTTTTACAAAAGTTACCTACAGCAGCTTTAACTTGACAGGCAGAATGACATGAAACCCACACCAACATGCCTAAAAAATTTAGAAAAACTACAACAGAGAGACAGAGAATACAAACAAAGGTTGAGGGAAGACCCAGTGAAGTATGAGGAATACTTAAATGTAGCCAAGTGGGATGAGTATCACAAATTATGACACTAGACATAAATTGGTCGTGGTTCCTTTAAGAGATTGTGTTGCGACGCTCACTTTACGGCATTGCCTCCTGTTCTGCAACATGCGCTAGTTTTCAGCGAAGAGAGAGCAGTGATTGCACGTGAGAGCTGCTGGTTTGGTTCATATACACCTATTTAAGGCTTTGTGAGGTAAATATACAGTTTCATTCCCGTGAACAAAATGTTTAAATGTTATATTTACGTATTACATATGTGTGCTCATTGGGAAATGTTTATAGATCGCCTTTTAAGGACGCCTGTGTGTGTATGTGTGAGCTGGATCTGGTTTGATCACGCGTGGGACACGTGCAAAGACTGGGTATGTGTTGTAATAAATGTTAATTAAACTGTTCCTCTTGTTCAAAGCCCAGTGTTTGTGAATGTTTAAATTGGATGTGCATGTTAGAAAACAGTGAGTTATTTTAACATTGAATATATGGTTAAGAGCTACTTAAACGTATTGAATGCTGTGTGAACAGTGTACTAATTTCTCTTTCTTTAAAACTGTATGCAGATAACTGTGAAGTTTGATGGTAGACTAATGTACTGTTTTTCATTTGACTATTAGCCTCTACCGTATTTCATTACTGTATTTGTACTAGTCTATTTCGTTATTCCAATGTCTTTCATTTCAATTTGATTTCATTCAGTTTGTGTCATAATCATCTTTTATACCAAGCAAGTGCACCAAAGAAATGTGAAAGACTTTATTTCATTGTATTATTTTTGTTTCTAAATATTTGCTCCTCTCGACCGCTGTCCTTTATAGAGACAGCGGCCAGAATAAAGCCCAAAAAGTCGTTTTTGTATCCTGTGTTGTTTCATTCAACCACTGGTTACATAAGGAAAGAAAGAAATAAGAAACAAAGGGAAGAAGGAAAGCTGAAGACTATCAGTGAATTATCTGACAGGGAGCAAAGACATGTCAGAAAAGCATGGAGGAAAAGACAGAAAAGACACAGGATGATGGAGAAAAGACAGAAAGAGGTGGAGACATTTTGCAGGGCTTCCACACCACCTAGCACTTCCAGTGTGTGTGATCAGACACCAGTGCACACACACACTGTGGGACAAGGGGGAAAACAAGCAAATATCAGTAACTATAGAAAATGACACACACACAGTTCAGTGGTTCTGGAGATTTATCTGAATGACTCATAAACAAAATGTTGGAAATTTGAAAATGAAACAAAGTGGTTCTGAAACAGTCTACATTGTAAGTTGTTGGGTTTTTTTAGGAAGAAAAATCTATGAGCATACCTCTTCTCACTTGCACCTCAAGACCCAAAGTATAGAATAGCTCTAGGTGTTCTTATAAGATTTACTGTCAGATCTGTGTCTGCCAGATGTACTGACTGCATATGTGCATCATAGTTATTTATTTATATTAACATAAAATGTGGACAGTCTGATTCAGCCATGGCAAACTAAGTATTGTGGTCACTACCAAAACATTACTGTCACTACCTAAAATGTGCAGTCACTACCGTTACATGGGTGTTTTGTCAAAAATAAAGTATATTGAATTATCAACTAAGATGTTATGATAGTGTTTGGTTCAATGCATATTCAAACTAATGAATCCTTAACTTTGAAATCAGTACGATAAACTGTATGCCTTCTACAAAGAAAGATTGGGTTGACCCGCAGCCTTCACACAGAAATAGGTATACTGGCCTTCAGAGGTAATAGCAAAACCTGACAAGTGGATCATTGTAATGTGTGATTACAACCCCTTCACACACAGGCAATAAAAAAAGGATTCATTTTAGAAGAAAAACGACATATAGCACCTTTAACAGCCAAATTCCATGAATACTGAATTTACACTGAGCTTGATATGAAGGCCAAAGTGTAAATTAAGTGATCATGGAATTGTTTCTAAACGACGATTTGCACCTGGATAATCTCGAGTGATTGTAAGTGTGATGATCATCTGCTAAATGAGCAACAAAGACCACAATTCACTCCTTCAGTCAGTGAAGCTCCCACAGCCGTTCATGAGAGTTTAAATGCTGGGGAATATTCCCATCTTCCCACAGGAGAAGAAGAAGCAAGCAGGAGGAATTACTCCAGGAGAAACTACGGACATACTATTGTAAAGATGGAGATTGAGGAAGAACCCTGCAGAATAAAAGATGAAGATACAGAGGAACAAATAGGTTGGTTTTTTCCTAGTTCATTCTCTTTAAAGGTGCATTGCGCAACATTTCATGTTAAAAATACCCGTTTTTCTAACCCATACATGCTTAAAGGAGCAAGTGTGCGTGTGCGTGTGGTCCATGAGCGTGCACACCTCTGGTTGCAGTTCCGCTTGTCGCTAGAGGGGGCATAGTTCTGCAAAAACTCAGAGACTTGCGCTATGCACCTTTAATGACCGATGAGGAACATTAGGATGAAAACTGACATATAAAAATAACATCTAAAACTAGATACTAGTAGATTCAGGAGTAAGCTGGATTTGTTTTTGTTTCTCATGTATCCTTTTATTAAAGGTAGGGTAGGTAGTTTTTGTCTAAAAAACTTTTTTCCAAATTTGTTTAAACTGTCTTTATATATCAATGCATAATTAAAATGTAAGTACTCTGAAAAAGAGATTATAAAAATCGAGTGTCTGTCTCAGGGCTGCAATAAACACAGCTCATTATTCCATTCGGGACGAATGAAATGATTGGCTGGGCGACTGTCACTCTCACTTGCTACCATGGCTACCACCCCTGCTGCTTCAGGAGCCGCCCACATGCGCGCACCCGTTTGGCTCAAGGAGGTGAAGAGGCACGGACGGAAGCTAGTAATAATAACAATTATGGCAGAGAAAGAGCAGTCACAATTCTCAGTACCTGCATATACAGTCAGCGAAGGCAAACGAGTAAATAAAAGGAATACAGTATTCGCACGACCTCTTCTGCTTCGCCCTCGACCCCGGACCTGTCCTTGAGCCGGTGACGATGCGGTACTTGTCTCTGAGTGTAGTCCTCATCAGAGCCAACAGTGCTTTCAACGTGGACGCTCTTACATGCAAAACACCGTATATGTTATGAATCTTACGCGAAATTCACCTTCATCACAGTGTAACTGATGGGTACGGAAAACGTGTATCAATGAAGCTATTTATAGGTTTGCCTTATTTTAGTAGCTCGTTACCGAATCAAACTCAATATATTTTAAACTTTACCAGTATCGATATGCTAGCTTGATAGTAAGTACTAACAGCCATGTTAGTTGTTTATATTCATAATGATAAAGTGAGTTATTTTATTACTTGTGATTCTGACATGATGTCACTACATGGACTGCTCCTCTCCGTTCTGCGCTGGTAAACGCGTCCTCCTCCAGCTGACGAGCCGCGGTCGGCATCGTGCGTTCATGTGTTTTGGGGGCATGGCTTTGGAAGGAGCCGAGAAGGGAGGGGGTGGAGTGAATAGAATAATGAGCTGTGTTTATTGCAGCCCTGAGAGGACTACAAACACTAGATTTGAGTACTTACATTTTAATTATGCATTGATATATAAAGACAGATACAAATTTGGAAAAAAGTTTTCTAGACAAAAACCACCTACCCTACCTTTAAATTATGTGAATTTAATTTGTTTATTTTAGACCTAATGAAAGTGAATGAAGACAAACTGCATCAGTTTCAAAAACTGCATTATTTCACAAATGAAGATGGACATGCAGTCGTTTCAAAGACTGAAGAGAATTTCACGCAGAAACAAGCTGGAAAATCTGGAGTCAAAGGATCTTTAACCTGTTCTGAGTGTGGAAAGAGTTTCATACGTAAATCAAACCTGAACATACACATGATGATTCACACTGGAGAAAGGCCTTTTACATGCACTCAGTGTGGAAAGGGATTCATTCGCAAAGGATACTTAAATGATCACATGAGAATTCACACTGGAGAAAAACCGTTCACATGCTCTCAGTGTGGAAAGAGCTTCAGTTACAAAAAAGCTCTCAAAGATCATCTGCGCCGTCACTCTGGAGTGAGATCATTCAGCTGTGATCAGTGTGAGAAAACATTTGTTTTTAAATCAAACTTAAGAAAACACCTTAAAGTTCATGCTGGTGTGAAGCCTCACTTTTGTTCTGTATGTGGAAAGAGTTTTTCACATCTTGGATCTTTAAAAGCGCATGAGCGTATTCATACTGGTGTGAGACCTTATGTGTGCTTTGACTGTGGAAAGAGCTGCACTTCATCCAGCAACTTAAAATCACACCAGAGAATTCATGCTGGAGAGAAACCGTACAAGTGTTCACACTGTGGAAAGAGTTTCTCTCGGTCAGGAAACCTGAAAGATCATGAGAGAATTCATACTGGAGAAAAACCGCACCAGTGCTCTTCATGTGGGAAGAGTTTCAGCCATTCATCTAGTCTACTGAAACATGAGAAAAAGCATTGCCCGAAGATGTCTGAGTGAGCAAAGTTCACTTTCATAACTTGTAAATAAGCAAAAGATGGAATTACATTTAATACAGTAATTTAATCTAAAATTAGTATTGAAGTTTTAATGTTTGACAAGGGGAACTGGTTAAAATGGTTGTGAATTGCATTGTAAGTGTTGCATGTGTTGTTCTTCCGACACCCGTATTGATCCTCTGTTGTGTTGCACATGTGCAGTAAACACTGAGTGTTACTGTATACAAGATGAACTGAACAGTAAAGCAACAATGTGAAAATACTCGTGTCAGTGTCATCGCTCAAGCAGTGCATGGTCATCTCATACAGATGGAACATAAATAATAGTTCAGAAAACTAGTGTGTCGCCATAAAACATTATAATTTATGAAGGGATGTGTTTTGTTTCTTTCTGGTTTCATTATTTTAATTGTACATGTGAGGCATTTTGAAACAATGGCAACAATAGTCTATCAAATATCATTCATATCACAAACAACTTGTTTTTAGTCTCGCTGTTTAGAGGTGATGCATTGAGAACATATTGAAGACTTTATTGGATTGAATCACTCTCTGCACATTGTGAAAATGTGAGAATTAAAAATGAATAAAACTAGTGATTTATTCAGGTATAACGAATAGATTTAATTTAGTTTTCATTCAATCAAGGGGTTTAACATTGTATTCAGCATTGCTAATGAACTAGTAGTAGTAAACACTAATTCTTTTTGGAAAAATGGCTCCAGTTGTTTTTCTATGTATATTTAAAGAGGCGATTCCTCTCATAATATGGACTCTGAAAAACACATCACTGAGAGAAGATGAAATGGATACTTGTTTTACAGCTGCTATCTATTTATGAAAAAGGTCATTAGCTATATGGATATAAATGTTATATTTTGACAAACAATTTTGGCCAAAAAAGTAATGAAAATGTACTTATTTTGAGCAGATTTTGTGTACTAGTCGAATCCATCGTGATTCATGAAACTGTCATAAATACGAGGGGAAGCTAGATGCAGGTAAGATGTTTATTATAAATAAACAGAATAATGGTCAGAACACACACAACACTGGGAACACAGAACTGGCACGTGGCGCAGGGACTTCGATAGGCAACCAGGCGGGTGATGATCTCCGATGAGGTGTGGAAGTTTTACCAATAGCACAAAGCGAGCAAGCCAAAACAAAACTGCGAATGTCCCGAGCCATTAATGGCCACCAAAAATCGTTGCTTGACCAAAAACCTGGTACGATTGACTCCTGGATGACACGCCACTTTGGAACAATGCCCCCACTGAATAACGTCAGACCGTAACTGCTCCGGCACAAATAATCGATTCGGTGGACCCCCTGGCGGAGGCGTTACCCCTTCTAAGGCCGTCTTGACCTTCGATTCCATCTCCCACGTGAGTGTGGAGACAAATAGGTTCTCTGGTAAAATAAACTCGGGAGTGGTCGGGCGTTCGGAACGGTCAAAAATACGTGATAAAGAATCGGGTTTGATGTTTTTAGAACCCGGCTGGTACGAAAGAGAAAAATCAAAACGACGGAAAAAAAAGAGCCCACCGAGCCTGCCTGGAGTTGAGTCTTTTGGCAGTTCTGATATATTCTAGGTTCTTATGATCAGTCCAGACGATAAAAGGTAACCCCGACCCTTCTAACCAGTTGCGCCACTCCTCCAACGCTAACTTGACTGCCAACAACTGACGGTTACCAATGTCATAGTTACGTTCGGCAGGGGATAATCGATGAGAAAAGAACGCGCACAGATGTCTGTGGACGAACGTTGGGAAAGAACTGCGCCTACCTCCACCACAAACTGACGTGACGGATCTGGGGCTACAAGGATGGGAGCCAAAACGAAGCCGTTTTTAAGATTGGTGAATACAGCCTCCGCTGTATCAAACCACCTGAACGTAGTTCTGAGGGAGGTCAAGGCAGTCAGAGGAGCGGCTAGTTGGATTAAATTGCGAATAAAACGCTGGTAGAAGTTGGCGAACCCCAGAAACCTCTGTAGGGCCTTACGGCAATCTGGACTTGGCCAATCTACTATAGCCTTAACCTTCTCATTGACGAGTGCCTGGAAGACCGCTGGGGAGTTGGACAGGCCGAACTTCATGACCAAATATTCAAAGTGCCCCCTGGGGGTATTAAAAGCAGTCTTCCATTCTTCCCCCTTCCTAATGCGGACCAAATTATAAGCATTACGTAAATCCAACTTAGTGAAGACTGATGCTCCCTGCAACCTCTCGAAGGCTGAAGATATCAACGGCAAAGGATAAGTATTCTTTACCGTGATGTTGTTCAACCCCCGGTAGTCAATACAAGGTCTCGAATCCCGCCCCCGCTGGAGAAGAGGAAGGCTGGATGAACCCCGAAGCTAGAGAATCAGAAATATATTTCTCCATGGCCTCCCTCTCTGGAACAGAGAGTGAGTATAACTTGCCTTTAGGCGGAGACTTACCTGGCATTAAGTCTATGGCACAGTCGTAGGAACGGTGCGGAGGGAGAGAAGCAGCATGGGACTTACTGAACACTTCCTTCAGGTCCTGGTACTCGACGGGCACGTTAGATAAATCCCCTGCCTCCTCCTGAAACACAGTAACAGGTACAGAGACGGACAAGCAGACACAAGACAAGACTCATAACACTGTGTACTCCATAACAAAATAGAGTGTTGGCGCCAATCCACCCGGGGATTATGTTCAGTGAGCCGGGGGTGGCCGAGGACTTTGGGAGCTAATGGTGAGTCCATGAGGAGAAATGGTATTGTTTCTGCATGGTTGCCTGAAGTGATGAGTGTAATAAGTTCAGTAGTGTGTGAAATACTGGGAAGCTCTAGTCCATTGAGTGCGTGAACAGATATCTTGCAAGTGAGTGAATGAACAGGAATCTGAAGTCTCTGAGCGAGCTTACTGTCTATAAAGTTCCCTTCTGCTCCTGAGTCCAGTAAAGCTTGATAGGTGTTTGTGCCGGTTGCCCATCTTAGTCTTACCGGGAGGAGCATGGACGATGGTGATGAGGTCTTCTCGGCAGAGATCCAGCTAGATAAGTCCGTTCAACTTCGGAGGAAGATCCAATATGTAAATTTCTCTCTGAACACGGTCAGCCAGCCCACGCAGGAACATGTCCCACTGTGCCTCCTCGTTCCATTGGTACTCGGCCGCCAACGTGCGGAATTCGATGGAGTAGTCCGATCAGGGTCCGAAATTAACACCCGGCAAGCGCCAAATGCGGGTAGATTTTCCATTTGGTGAGTAATTCTCAAAAGGCTATCCGCCCCACTGGCGGGTGAATGTTCATACCAAAATAGTAATGTAATAAAATGTTTATTAATACAATTGCATTTTGTAATGTTATAAAATATCTGGGATGATGGCTACGGACATGACGGAGTTGTTGTGTTTGCGGGATGGGAATTGAAAACCGGTTTCACTCGAGAAACGGTTCTAAGTTTTATGAACCATCGCATCGATATTGTATGCCCTCGACGTTAACGAGTCCTCTTATCGATGCTCCTGATCCAAAGCGAATTTTTGTCCCGCCATAGTCTTATTTGATCGGTGAGTAATGTAGACGAACTGCTGCGCGTGTGACAGGGTGCAACTGAAGAACGAGCAGAGAGAGAGCCCCGGTAGCGTGCACACTCTTTCTCTTCGGAGCCAGGCGAAAGTATAAACAAGGCTTCAGCATCTCCTAACCGCTGTCTTGCTCTCTCTCCCTGGCACATATTAATCAAAATAAATCGACACGATGGTAAAAGGTCGGAAGACCATAGTTTCATGTAGAGGATTCCGATATTTTTTTTTCTGAATTACCGCTGGGTGTGAATTGTGCTAAAATACCCTATCTTCTCTGAAAAACGTTCCGCACATTCAGCTGACATAAACCACACTTTAAATAAACGAAAAAACCTACCCAGTGATTAAATGTTTTCTGTGTTGACACAAATCTTGTGGGATCTCCTAGCTGCCGGGATAATCACACAACGCAAACACATCCGATAATGACAAGTCCAATTCGCGAACTATTGACTCATTTAAACCGATTCATTTTAATGAATGGTTAAAACAACTTTCTAGTCCTTCGGTTACTGATCGGATCAGTCAGAGTAAATGGAGTAAAAAAATAGGCAGAGTAAAGCTAAAAATATTTTTTAAATAATTATAATATATTATTATTATTGCATTATTTTATTAAATATACAATTAATACATTTCATTTGTACAGAACTATTTTCATAGGCACCAGCACAAAAATATTATTTTAATGTGTGTAAATTGTGTAATATATGAATGAATGAAAGCCTTTATTGTCATTGCATTTAAGTACAATGAAATTATAGAGCCACTCTAGTATGTGTGTAAATAAAAGTAAAAATGGAAAATAATAGACCAGAAATATAATGACAACAATGTTTAAAGTTGCCCTAGAATGGGGTTATTTTATTATTTTATAATGTTTCCTGGGTTGCCCTTATAATGTTAGTATGTTTTTTAGATCAAAAACAGTCATAATTTAGAAATAAAAGGCATTTTTCCTAGCCTGATTTTAGCCTCTGATTTAAACGCTCTGTTTGAAGGGGCGTGTCTGCTGTGGGATTCAGTGTATCCGCCCACTGCTGTGATTGGCTGACATGCTTGCATATGAAATAGATATTACATGTGAAACTCTCTCGAATACTTTTACTACAGCTATTATACGTTTTTACTATTACAGCTGTCGAGATTAACGAATCGTGAGAAGTTTTTAAAGTATTTACATCTATTCCCATCACATAAAATGTTGCCTTGATGAGCATTGAGGAAGCAGATGACAGTATGTTGATAGCGAGAATGAAGATCTTATCATTGCAACGCTGAAATCTGATCATTTGCATATGAACAGCTCGCACGCACGCGTGTGGGCGTGGTCACATTAGCACTAATCAGCTCAGCCTGTCGTTGCTTTCATACGAATTACTTAAACAGAGAATATTTGTTTTTGATATGATTTACATAATTTAAAAATGGAGACTTCAAGCTTTGTAAAGACATATGTTTCATGTCACAGTGACAAGCATTTGCTGAGTTACAGGTCATATTCTGTCATGTTTCAGAATGAACTTCACATTGAGAGAGAAAGGAAAACGCGCATCATGTTTAATTTCTTTATTTTACGAAAAACACAACATTTTTTTTTTATTATTAGTGTACACAAATAAAAGAAGACATTTAACAGTTTTGAATGATGTATAACACTTGCCTGTATGACAAAAAGAGACGGAAATATTTGAGTCTATTTTGCACTGATAAGAAAAAAAGCGAGACAATCGCGCCACCGACCCCAGGGGGTTAAACGCCGCAAGCTGAATGGGCTGGTTCACAAAGTGATCAGACAACACTTTAGGTCGGAAAGCTGGATTCGGCCAGAGTGTAACCTGATTGTACTCAGGCCCCCATCTGAGACACTGTGGACTCACCGAGAGGGCATGAACCTCACCTACTCTTCTGGTTGACGTTATAGCCAAGAGAAAAGCAGTCTTCATCGAAAGACTCTTAATATCAGCTTGTTCAAGTGGTTCATAAGGCGGTAAACGCAGGCTGTTAAGCACCATCTGAAGATCCCACTGGGTATGCATTATCCGTACCGGTGGATTAAGACGTAATGCTCCCTTAAGGAAAGCCACCACCAACTTTTCCGCACCAATTGATTTCCCCCCCAAGGGGTTCCGATGTGCTGACAAGGCTGCCACGAATATACCCTTAGAGTCGCTGGGGACCGCCCAGTGTCCAATAAATGTTGTAAGAATTCCAACACTGAACTGATGGAACAAGTGACTGGGTTAACAGACCGATCTGTAGACCATGAAACAAAGACTGGCATAAGTGCGACGTGTTGATGGGGCTCTTGCATTCATGACAGTGTTCCTCACATCTGCGGAACACTGTGAGAGCTCCTGCTCAACCCCAGGGGCCATACACATAGACTCAACCTGCCCGGTGAAGGTTGCCAAGCTCCCCGTTCATTTGTGACAGTAGGTCCCTCTGAACTGGCAATGGTTGTGGTGGACCGGTCGTAAGGGCCAGCAGCAGACTGAACCGCGGTCTCGCTGGCCAGCAGGGTGCCACTAGAATAAGCCTGTGTCGTCTCATCTGCACACGCCTCAGCACAGGCCAGAGAAGTGGAATTGGAGGAAAAGCATAGAGGAGGAGGTCTGGCCAGTCGTGGGCCAGGGCATCCTGGCCTAGTGATCCCTGCTCCCCCTGCTCCTCCTGCTCCACAAACCACAGCGGACAATGTGTTGTATTCCTGCTGGCAAGGAGGTCGACTGCTGCGGTCCCATAAAGTCCCCAAACTGACTGAACCACCGCCTTGTGCAGACACCAGTCCCCTGGCTTCGGACCCGATCGAGAGAGTGAGTCTGCCACACAGTTGCAGTGACCGGGAATGTGTGCCGCTCTGATCGAGAGGAAGTGCTGGTTTTCCCACAACAGCAGCACTCGTGAAAGTCGAAGGCAAGGTAGTTGCCACACGCCCTGGTGTTGCCACAGCCCTCTCCATCCGGAGAGAGAGGCATCTGTTGTCACTACTTCTCTGCGGGATGGGAGTGGTCCCATTGGTACACCCCCTTGTAGAAATTGTTCCCGTCTCCAAAGCCTCAGGGAGACAGAGCAACTGGTTGTCACCACAACAAGGGTCTGTCGGTTGTGAACTGCTGACAACCGTCTGGCTATAAACCAACGCTGAAAAGGACGAAGGTGTAAAAGTCCTAAGTGAATGGCCGATGAGGCTGCCGTGAGAAGGCCCGATAGCCGTAAGAAGTGAAGATAAGGTAGCTTGCGCCGAACCTGGAACCTCGCTATGGCTCCTCGTATAGCCTGCCTCCTGCATGCTGTGAGGGTAGCCCTCATTATTCTGGAGTCCAGATGTAATCCCAGAAAACATATTGACTGGCATGGAGTAAGGCAGCTTTTCTCCAGGTTTACCCTCAGTCCTAAAGCAGTAACATGCTCCAGTAGGCGCTGTGTGTTGTTGGCTACCTGCTGAGGGGATCTGGCACAAAGCAGCCAATCGTCCAGGTAAGGGAGAATCAACATGCCCTCCCGTTGTAGAGGTTCTAGTGCCACTTGCATACACCGTGTGAATACACGGGGAGAGAGGGAGAGGCCAAATGGTAGGACTCGATATTGGTATGTCCTGCCCTGGAATGTGAACCGAAGAAACCTTCTGTGATGAGGTGCAATGGGGATTTGGAAATATGCATCCTTCAGATCCACAGAGGTAAACCACATGCCGGGTTCGACTGCTTGTAGGACATCCTTGACACGCAGCATGCGGAAAGGAAGGTGTTTGAGACTCCTGTTCAAGCGTCTGAGGTCCAAGATTGGCCTGAAGCTTCCATCCTTCTTGCGAACTAGGAAGTACTTTGAATGAAATCCCCCCGGATGGACCTGGGGGTTTACTAGCTCTACCGCACCCTTTTTCAGTAGCTTCCGGACCTCGAGAGATAGAGAAAGAGCTTGGCGAGGGTCCAGAACCACTGTGGGCCGAGTGTGTGTGCATAATTGGGGTCTGTGACGGAACTGAAGACAGTAGCCCCTGTCGAGTGTGTCGAGGAGCCACTTGTTGTTCGTAATCCCTCTCCAAAGTTGTAGTTGAGAGGTTGAAAAGTGTCCCATCGCAGACCCTGGATGGTCACCAGCGATGGGGAGCGGTTTCCCTACCCCTGGGGGGGGCGACGATAAGTCGCCGCAGGGTGAGCAGGTGGTCTACGAGCACGGGATGCCTCCCTTCTCGAGTTATACCCAGGTCGAGTTGCCTGCTGTACAGGCCTGTAAGACTGTCCCTGCCTGTACTGGAGTGGATTTGCATGACGAACAGGCATTTTTTGTGAGGATGGTCCATAATTCACACTGCGCTCAAAGTGCTGGGAAAGAGACTCCACTGCACGAACTCTGCGCTCAAGAGCTTCTTGAGCGGCTGGATCAAAAATCTGCCCGGGTACCAGTGGTAGTTGACGAAGATTGCTACGGCAAGCCTCTGGAAGTTTAGACTGTGCTAGCCAAACCTGCCGCCTTGCCTGTGTAGTAAGCCCAAGAGCCTTTCCGCTAGAGAACGCGATGGAACCCAAGGGTTGTAAGGAAGCCTCAAGTAACTCAAATGTGGTATTATCTGGTGGGTTAGTACTCAAAGCAGAATGAAGTGCTAGCAGAAGATGAGCCATGGAATTCCCCACACGACTCAAGCCTGAGACAGTATTATAAAACCTGACCAGCAGATCATCTGTGTGTCTACACTCTGGGTTGGGACAGCGAAGATTGTGTCTAACGCCGTCTTCACACTGGCAGTTGAAATCAGCTCCGTAATACGCAATACGCCCCCAACGGACGTCGTACTACACAGTGAAAAGCGTCAGAAGCGGGTAGAACAAAAATGGCGGAGAGATTAGAAAGGTTGATTCTGTCAGTTCTGTATGATCTCTCTGATGAGGGTTATAGAGATATTAATAGGAAGGCTGCTGCGTGAGGAAAGTTGCTCAGGACGTTGACATGTCAGGTCGGCTAAAAAATGTGATATAGTGGTATAATTTATACTACTATATCACATTTAGTTCGATGTCTGACTACAATTTAATTGTATTAACTGCCCTAATAACGTTAGCAAATCATGAAAATAAAAAAAATTACATGACAACTTAACTTTTAATAAAATAAATAATGATTTTATAACGATAAGAATTCAGGTTTGTTTATCAGTATCATAGCAACGCTAACTTCCGCTGGAATTGTTGGATAGGAACCGTCCGTAGCTTTTCGCAAGAGTTCAAATTTTTTTAACGCATCCGGATGACCAACGGACACGATTTTCTTCGCACCGCACTCGGTCGGACCCGTTTCGGACCCATTCGCATGCGGTCTGCGAATCTCGATAGGAAATGAATGACTTCCGGTCGTTTCGGAGCCGTATCGGAGCTGATTTCAACTGCCAGTGTGAAGGCGGCGTAAGAGCCTCATCTGGTGACACTATAGCTTCCGCGGATATAGCTTCCGACACGTCATCGGTCAGGGTCACAGGTGACAAATCAATGCGAGATTCTCGATATGGCTCACGAGACGCGACTCCTTTCACTATGTTAGACCGTCTCTGGCAGTCTGTAACAGTGAAATATAACTATTATTTATGTTCCATCTGTATGAGATGACCATGCACTGCTTGAGCGATGACACTGACACGAGTATTTTCACATTGTTACTTTACTGTTCAGTTCATCTTGTATACAGTAACACTCAGTGTTTACTGCGCATGTGCAACACAACAGAGGATCAATACGGGTGTCGGAAGAACAAAACATGCAACACTTACAATACAATTCACAACCATATAAAACGGTTCCCCTTGTCAAACAATCAAACTTCCATACTAATTTTAGAATAAATTACTGAAGTAAAGGTTATTCCATCTTTTGCTTATTTACAAGTTATGGAAGTGAACTTTGCTCACTTAGACACCTTCAGGCAATGCTTTTTATGATGTTTCTGTAAACTAGATGATTGGGTAAAACTCTTTTTGTTCTTCTATTATTCTTATTGAATTTGGTTGTGGGTTTACCTTAATGTATATTGATTACATGGCTACTCAAGGAAATGTGTCAATTACTTAAGTCACTCAATTAGCACAAGTTTGTTTTTTCTTTGTAACATAAATTCTACACTCAATGCAAGATGCAATGAATGACAATAATTGTGCATCACCACTTGATATGAAGCCCAAAGTGTAAATTCAGTAATCATTGAATTGTTTCTAAATTACTATTTGCACCTGGATAATCTCGAGTGATTGTAAGTGTGATGATCATCTGCTAAATGAGCAACAACGACCACAATTCACTCCTTCAGTCAGTGAAGCTCCCACAGCCGTTCATGAGAGTTTAAATGCTGGGGAATATTCCCATCTTCCCACAGGAGAAGAAGAAGCAAGCAGGCGGAATTACTCCAGGAGAAACTACGGACATACTATTGTAAAGATGGAGATTAAGGAAGAACCCTGCAGAATAAAAGATGAAGATACAGAGGACCAAATAGGTTGGTGTTTTCCTTCATTCTTTTTAATCACTGATGAGGAACATTAAGATGAAAACTCATATATAACAATAACATCTAAATTTATATACTGGTAGACTCAGTAGTAAACTGGATTTGTTTTTGTTTCTCATGTATCCTTTCATTAAATTATGGGAATTTAATTTGTTTATTTTAGACCTGATGGAAGTGAATGAAGACAAACAGCATCAGTTTCAAAAACTACATTATTTCACAAATGAAGATGGAAATGCAGTCGTTTCAAAGACTGGAGAGAATTTCAGACAGAAACAAGCTGGAAAATCTGGAGTCGAAGGATCTTTAACCTGTTCTGAGTGTGGAAAGAGTTTCATACGTAAATCAAACCTGAACACACACATGAAAATTCACACTGGAGAAATGCCTTATACATGCACTCAGTGTGGAAAGGGATTCATTCGTAAAGGATACTTAAATGATCACATGATGATTCACACTGGAAAAAAGCCTTATACATGCACTCAGTGTGGAAAGAGTTTCAGTCGCAAAAACTCTCTCAACATTCATTTGCATTGTCACTCTGGATTGAGATCATTCAGCTGTGATCAGTGTGATAAAACATTTGTTTTTGAATCAGGCTTAAGAGAACACCTTAATGTTCATTCTGCTGTGAAGCCTCACTTTTGTTCTGTATGTGGAAAGAGTTTTTCACATCTTAGATCTTTAAAACGGCATGAGAGTATTCATACTGGTGTGAGACCTTATGTGTGCTTTGACTGTGGAAAGACCTTCACTTCATCCAGCGACTTAAAAACACACCAGAGAATTCATACTGGAGAGAAACCGCACCAGTGCTCTTCATGTGAGAAGAGTTACAGCCATTCATCTAGTCTACTGAAACATAAGAAAAATCATTGCCTGAAGATGTCTAAGTGAGCAAAGTTCACTTCCATAACTTGTAAATAAGCAAAAGATGGAATTACATTTAATACAGTAATTTGATCTAAAATTATTATTGAATTTTGATTGTTTGATAAGGGGAACTGGTTAAAATGGTTGTGAATTGCATTGTAAGTGTTGCATATGTTGTTCTTCCGACACCCGTTTTGATCCTCTGTTGTGTTGCACATGCGCAGTAAACACTGAGTGTTACAAGATGAACTGAACAGTAAAGCAACAATGTGAAAATACTCGTGTCAGTGTCATCGCTCAAGCAGTGTGTAACCCTGGTAACCCAGGCTACTAATAAAATAAAATGAAAGTAAAAAATAAGTAAGAAAGAAACAGAAAGAAATCACCGATTAAATGAGGTGATGGGCTCTTTAAAGTCCCTGTAAAGTAAAAATTAAGTATGTGTTCTGAGTTTGTCACACCACAGAAAAATGTGTTATTAGCCACCCAGACAAATTTGAATGATAAAAAAAGCCGGCAAGTACATAAAATAAGCTATCAAAATCTTGAAAAAAATTAGCAGTATTCTCTGCTCTCAAACGCTGGGGGCGTGTCCGCTGGCTGGGCTAAAACCACGCCCACTCCCGGGAAAGCAGCCGACGGTGATGTTAGGTGATACTGCTTTCGGGACGGGGAGATGAAGGCCGAGGCGGGAGATAGTCGGTTCGGCCCCATTCACCAGTAACAGCGGATTATCAGTGAATCCCAGTTGTCTCCGACGAAAGTTTATAAAACTATCCCGTTTAAAATTATCACTAACAGAGGCGGGTGTTGGTTGGCGGTGATCCTCAGCTCTCCATCAAGGTTGGCTCTTCACAAAATTAATCCATCTCTACTTGACTTGATGTGATCGTTTTTAGGAAATTTAAATAAAGACACCGATCTGTTTTGTACATGATCGCATCCAGGTAGTAGCCTACGCATTTCCGTGTCGAAGGCATAGCTAGCTAGCAAACTGTAGGCTGTAGTAACTAATAGTACTGACAGTAAGTCGCGATTGAGTGGCCTCAGTGCGTCATCAAGTAGGGGCGTGTCCAGGAGCTCAGGGGCTCCAGTGCGTCATCAAGTAGGGGCGTGTCCAGGAGCTCAGGGGCTCCAGTGCGTCATCGAGCCCCGTTTTAGCCCCGCCCAAAAAATCCGGAAAATAGCAATGGTGAAAAACTGTTTAACGGTCTAACTCCACAATTCAGTAATTCACAGTTCACAGTCTTTGTAATATGTTTTAGCAGTACATTTGTAACATTTATAATGGGTTTAGATTTTTTTTTTAGAATTGCCTTTACAGGGACTTTAAGAGCTAGTAGCAGCAGTGAGCCAAGCCCCGCCTATCTGCTACTCGTGGAGCGAGTGAGATGAGGCAGCTACACGGAGCGATCTTCAAAACCCCTCCAGACCATGCAAGTGATTAATTCAGAGAAAAGTGATCGAATACAACAGTGTTACGAGCCTGGCTCAAAGCAAGCAACAGAGTAGGGAAAGGCCACACACGGAATAGGAATATAGTATATTTATTAAATTAATAGAATGTTAACAGAATAAACTTTGCTCAGCCAGTACTGAAGTTGGCTTTGAAAAAGAAATAAAAATATAAGCAATCGGAAATGAATAAACAAAACAAAATCATAAACGGTGCGGGAGAAATGCAACGGAGGCTGGTTCTACTCCCGGTCTCATCTGAAGCGTCTTTAAAGGCCCAGACCAGGAACTGATTAGCACAACTCCAAATACCTGTGCCCAGAAGGAACTGATGCTTGTGAAACAGATCGATGCAGATACACGCAACATCAATGTGCCACAAATGAACTTCCTAAATAAAGCGTTGTTGAAAATCCGGTTCGCGTACCCCGAAGTGATAAAATAAAACAAAATTCTTTATCTAATTTATAGGCAAGACAAGTAGTTTGTTTAGGCATGAATTGTAGGGAAATTACAAACCTGCGCACACATATTCAAACGAATATAACTATAGAATCAATTTTTAATGCACATGTGAACGCCATCAGGTCACAGGTTCGCGTTTAAAGTCTGTTTAGAGAGAACGCCGTCATCTTAGTGGCCCCTAATGTAATAACAAATGATAATTTAGCTGGAAGTGAATCAATCAAACCAACTTTAGCTGGAAATAACATTATTCAAAAATCGCTATAAAGCCAAAACAATCTCTGTTACCGTAAATTGTATGTTTATCTCTGTAAAGCTGCTTTGAAACAATCTCCATTGTTAAAAGCGCTATATAAATGAAGATGACTTGACTTGACTTGACTTGCTTGTTGAAAATATATAAATACATCGCCTTGGTGAGTTAAAACTCAAACATTAACTTGACGTTTATGGAAAAAGTGTCGCGGATCTGATAGAGAAACAATACAGAGTGTTTATATAGGCCGTGCGAGCCGAAGTGGATAGCACATGGGCTAAAGCTGACGCACGTGTGAGAATGCTAATGAGCTAATGAAGTATGCTATTAAAGGGTTAGTTCACCAAAAAATGTAAACTCTGTCAGTAATTACTCACCCTCATGTTGTTCCAACCCCGTAAGACTTTCATTCATCTTCGGAACACAAATTAAGATATTTTTGATTAAATCTGAGTTTATGCCCCACCGCATGGGTATAAAAGGAGAATGCCGGCAATATGCAGATATGTTTCTTCGCTGAGCAGCCAAGACTGAACTCGGCTATTCCAGCGGAAGTGGCAGGAAGACGCAACGTCTCCGTTCCCTACTCAGGGAACGAGGGTTACATACGTAACCAAGACGTTCCCTTTCGTTGTCACTCCGAGTTCCGTCGGATGACGACGAATGGGGTTTCCAGTCTAATCACGCCACCTTCACAGCTGTCTTCCAGTGCCCTGCGTAAATCTGAGATCCCTGTCGTGAGACTAGCACGGACGAAGGACTCCTATTTAGCACAGGAATACCAAGGTACACTGGGGAACATATCTCATATCTCAGAGAAATATGCAATTAATGCCAGCCCCTAGGGGGGGACTTAGAAAATACACATATGACCCAGAGGGATGCATATGGAGAACACAGGGGTGTCCCGCCGCAGGAGGAATATTTCAACCCCAGGGGTGGTAAGGTGGCTTGCCAAGGGACAGACACATGCTCAGAGAGGCTTACAGTGGAAATACACATGTGGGGGGTCGCCCAGAGGGGGGCCATGCACACGGAGGCACCTAGCCAACGCGCAGGCAATAGACACTGGCGTCGACGTCAGCTGGGCTGGAGGAACTCAGGGCTTGAGGGAGGAAGCTCACCTGAGGAAATATCGCACATATCCAGTCCGTAGAGTGGAATGGCGAGCAAGCGAAGACACCTGAGCGGGTCCTAGTACTGGCTAGTTGAAGCGAGTACATGAGAGGATACTGGCTCCACTCGGAGATTGTAGAATCTGGCGAATGTGTTGGGTGTCGCCCAGCCTGCAGCTCTGCAGATGTCTGTTAGCGAGGCGCCATGCACTAGAGTCCAAGAGAAAGCCACACTCCGGGTGGAGTGGGCTGTCACACCAAGGGGGCACGGTCGACCTTGCTGCTGGTAAGCCAAAGCAATGGCGTCCACTATCCAGTGAGACAACCTTTGCTTGGAGAGAGCCTTTCCCTTCTGTTTCCCACCATAACAGACAAAGAGCTGGTCTGAGGTCCTGAAACACCTCATTGTGTCTACATAGATGTGGAGAGTGCGTACTGGAGAGAGCAGTGCCAAGGCTGGGTCTGCCTCCTCTAGGGGCACCGCTGCAGGTTCACCACCTGGTCCCGAAAGGGAGTGGTGGGAACCTTGGGCACATATCCAGGCCGGGGTCTCAGGATCACGTGAGAGTAGGCCGGCCCGAACTCCAGGCATGCTTCGTCAATGGAGAATGCGTGCAGGTCCCCTACCCTCTTGACGGAGGCCAGTGCAACCAGCAGAGCTGTCTTGATACAGGAATCTAATCTCCACTGATTGCAGGGGCTCAAAGGAAGCGCTCTGCAGGGCAGTTAGAACCACTGAGAGGTCCCAAGACGGAAGGAGAGGAGGGCGAGGAGGATTTAGTATCCTCGCTCCTCTCAGGAACCTGATGATCAGGTCGTACTTCCCTACGGACTTACCTTCCACTGTATCATGGTGTGCGGCAATAGCGGCGACATATACTTTGAGGGTGGAGGGAGACAGCCTTCGCTCCAACTCATCTTGAAGGAAGGAAAGCACGACACTGATCGAACACCTCCGGGGGTCTTCTTGGTGAGAAGAGCACCAGTTGACGAAGAGGTTCCACTTCAACGCGTAGGCGTGACTCGTGGACGACGCTCTAGCGGAAGTGATAGTAGCCACCACCGCTGGTGGTAGGGTACTCAAACCTGCCTCGTCCCATCCAGGAGCCACACGTGGAGGCTCCAAGATCGGGACGAGGGTGCCATAGGGTGCCCCGTCCCGGAGAAAGGAGGTCCTTCCTCAGAGGAATTGGCCAGGGAGGTGCTGTCGCGAGAAGTACAAGTTCGGAGAACCAAGTCCGGGTGGGCCAGTATGGCGCGACCAGAATGACCTGCTCCTCGTCCTCCCTGACCTTACGCAGGGTCTGCGCAAAAAGGCTCACTGGGGGAAACGCATATTTGTGGCCCTGCGGCCAGCTGTGCACCGGTGCATCCGTGCCGAGCGTGCCCTCGGTCAGGGAATAATACAGGGCGCAATGGGTCGAGTCGTGAGAGGCAAACAGATCTACCTGTGCGTCCCCGAACTGGTCCCAAATCAGCTGAACCGACTGGGGATGGAGTCACCATTCTCCCGGGAGGGGCTGAAGCCGTGAGAGCTCGTCGGCTGCACAGTTCAGGGCTCCGGGGATATGGATAGCTCGAAGCGACCTCAGATGCTTCTGACTCCATAAGATGAGGTGGCGGGCGAGTTGTGACATACGGCGAAAGCGTAGACCACCCTGATGGTTGATGTACGCTACTGTGGCGGTATTGTCTGATTGGACTAGTACGTGCTGACCCTTGAGCAACGCATGAAAGCGGTGCAGAGCACGGCGTACTGCCAGCAACTCGAGGCAACTGACATGCCATAGGCGCTGGG